AGCAACTACTCTATTCCCAACTCAAGAATGGAAAGCGTAATGCTGGTGGTCAACAAAAGAGGTTCAAAGACTGTCTGAAGGCAAATCTTTAAAAATGTAGTATAAACACCAACAATTTGGAAACACTGGTCTGCGAGTGTTCCAGTTGGAGAACAGCCTTTTCCAAAGGTGTCCTGGGCTTTGAAGACACTCGAACTCAGGACGAAAGGGAGAAACATGCTAAGAGGAAGGCACGCTTGGCAAATCCACACCCTGATCAACTCCCACCCAGAAACCTATGTCCCCACTGTGGAAGGATGTGTGGATCCAGAACTGGCCTCCACACTTACGGAGTCACTTACAGACTCATTGTAAAACCATGTTTATGGAAGACAATTTTACTCGGCTACTAGGGATCACCAACGAAGAACAGACACAGCACTGTCCCCCTTGCAAACACAGAGCTACCCTCTTTGCTAGCATTTGTGGCCCCATGATGAGAGGCTGCCTATTATTCTCCCCCCCCCATAGACATTTTCATAAATAAGACAAGAACAGCAAAAAGAAACTGCTTGTGCGTTTTCATGGAACGTAAGAGGCTGGAGCTGGATCAGGCCAGTGGGGCTCCATCTGGTCCAAGAGCCTGTTCTCACAATGGCCAAACATTGAATTTGAACATGAGAGCCCTCTCCTCTCTTGTGGAGAGATTACCAGCAACCGGGATTCAGTAGTATTGCTGCCTGTGGCTAGAAGTCATTGATAGCTCTCTTCCCTGTGAATCTGCCTCATCTCAGTTGGTAGCCATTCCTGCCCCCTGGGGGAGGGAGTTCCACAGTTTAACGATGCACCGCTTGAAGAAGGACTTTCTTTTATCTGTCTGAGAAAGTCCCCTGACTTTCTGGTTTTTCTCTAGCATGCACACACAGCCCTCCCTCCCCCTGTGCCCCCATTCACACTCCTTCCCCAGACTAGTTCTTCCCATTGCACTGCATCTCCCGACATTGTTCACACGACACTCTCCTGCACCACTTGCATGGTGTTCGGTGTGCCATCCGAACCCGCCTTGTGTGGCCAGTGCTGGATTTATGTATAAGCTAAACAAGCTATAGCTTCGGAACCCACTCTCTTGGGCCCCCCAAAAAAAATTAAAAGAAAAAAACAAACCTAGAAGTACATTCCCAAAATATAAGATAAAAAACAAATAAAATAAAACCTACATCCAGCAACCGTGTTGTGTGTTGTGTAGGCTCCTACGATGTAAGTCATGGGCCTTGCCTGCTAGCCTGCTCCCTCAAATATCCCTGGTTTGCTCCTTTCTATATATAGGGTGCCTACATTCTGCATGGACTGGTCGCATGGCCACATATGCAAATGGTTTGAGATACCTATGAGGTCCATAAATTACCATGCAGCATATATTCAACACAAAAAACAGCAACAATTTGTTGTTGGCAAAGGACAGCTGGACATAGAAAGGGCCCCATTACCTTCAGGAGCTTAGGGCCTCATCCAACCTCAATCTGGCCCTGGGTGAGGGGCAGTGGCAGTCCTTGGGGTCTCAAATTTCAGCAGCGCCCCCTGCTACCCTAAAGTTTGGCACCCCCACCCTGCCTCTCACACACTGTTGGACAGAACTGTTTGGGTGCAGGGCCAGGGTGGCTTCCCAGGGCGCCTGTGCTGGTCGTGCTACCCTAAAACCGCCTCTGGTAGGCAGCACTGGGGATGGGCTTATGGAACCAAGGGGGCAGGGACCCCAAAAGAGTTTAGGATCTCCTGGACTGAGCTTCCACAGCTGCTGCCCCTCATAAACCACCATCTGAAGGATTTTCAGGAGCTGAGGGCCTCATGAAACCTAAATCCGGCCCTGTGTGTGGCCGTCATGGCTCCTAGTCGAGATGGCTTTGCTCTGCCTCCGCACTCAGAACTGGGATGCCTCTTTGGCTACCAGCTCCTGGAAAAACGGCAAGGTGTGTGTGGGGAGGTAGAGAGGCTCGCTGCTACACTCAGGCACTGCTTGTGGACTTCTGGGCTTTTGTGAGAACACGGTGCCAGAATAGATGGGCCTCTAGCCTGATCTGACAGCCCCCTCTTGTATGTTCGTATGCATATAAGATTTCTGATTGCACGCAGCACCTAGACACAGATTGGACCCAGGTGTGTATGTTCAGGGGTGGGAGACAGGGTTGTTGGGGGGCAGTCAGACACACACACACACACACACACACACACACACACACACTGGGTACCATAGCTGTCAAATTACAGATTTGAAAATAAGGGACCAGCAGCCTCAAAAATAAGGGATCAGCAGCCAAAATAAGGGATTTTCCGGGCTCTGGTATGTTCAACTTCTGAGCCCCTCCGAGCCAAAGGCAGAAAGCCCAGCCAGCAGCCAAACGAAGCCTCAAGCAGTGGTTCCCACAGCGCAGCAACCCGGCAAAGGGGATGCAGCAAGGAAAACCACCGTCACCTCTCTGCTGGGAAGCGCTGAGCAAAGGCGAGTCCCCAGGCAACGCAGCCGATTTGATCGGCACATGGCATGCAAGCTCCACCCCCCAGTCGTTCTTAGATTCCTTATTGGGTGAGCAACACAGCCAAGCAACACAGTTGGAGCCTCCCTCCTCCCTGGCCAGCAGGGAGGGAGGGAGAGGAGCTGCTTCCTTTGAAACCCAGGAAATTTAAGGGACGTCATCAATAAGGGACAGCAGAGGAACATGGCGCTGGGATAAGGGAGTTTCCCACCAAATAAGGGACGCTTGACAGCTATGCTGGGTACACGCACACACATACACGGGCAGGCGGATATGCAAAGGATTTTGGTTCCTTGGACCTGAATGTGTGAACCATCCTTCCATCCAGGGAAAGTGTTCGGGTGTTAAGAGAATTTGTAGCATTTGTACTGTTCAAACAGACGGGGAGGGGGGCAGCGGTCAAACTATCACAAGAGTTGATGAAATTTTGGGAAGTTGGATAGTCACAAGGGAATGTGGGGTGCACATTTTTATTCTTATTCATTTAGGATTATTACTTTGTCAAAATAAAATAAGTAAAATAAAAATAAATAAAAGGGAAGGAGAAAGCCTAGAAAGAAAAGGAAAGGGGGGGAGGAATAGCTGTGCTTTCTTTCACTGGTCTTGACCAACCTGGTGACACCCCCCCCCAAATGTTCCAAGAACAGAAGAGCAGCCTGGTGCTGGATCAGGCCCATGGCCTGTCTAGGCCAGCATCCTGTTCTCACGTTGGCCAACCATCATGGGAAACCAAACCAACCCCTGTGTTGCAAAGAGAACGTCAACAGTGTTTAGGCAACACGATGACCATATACCTGCGTAATCTTTATAGAATTTCTTCAAACAATAACAAGGTCAAAATAAAATCTTAGACTCAAAGTCTCTGAAAATCTTTAAATGAAGTGAGGTACCAAACTTTGTACAATGAAAGACAAGATGTAGAGCTTTGTATTCAGCAAATATGATGTCCAACACTGAACAGTGATTCTGGATATTGACTACTGTTTCGTAGAATTCTTCGTCAGCATGGTGGGAGGATATAGAATTGCTTCATAAACCCATCTTATTTCGAATGAATGTGTGAACGAGTGCTCATGAGCATTGTTCCACAGCATTTGATAGTTTCATTTACATTCATTCATTCAAAATTCATTCGCTTCATTTAAAGATTTTCAGAGACTTTGAGACTAAAGATTTCATTTTGAACTTGTTCTTGTTTGAAGGAATTCTATAAAGATTGTCTATTACTCATGTATATGGTCATCGTGTTGCCTAGACATTGATGACTTCATGGGAAACCGGCAACAAGATCTGAGCACCGCTGACCTCCTGCGATTTCCAGAAACTGGGATTCAGAAACATCATTGCCTTCGTCATAATTGCGGAGGCAGAACACAGACACCCTGGCTAGTTGCCATTGCTGGCCTCCCCTCCATGAATTAGTCTGATCCTCTTTTAGTGTCATCCAGGACAGTGGCCATCACTGCGTTATGGCCTGGGAATCTGACTCAGAGGCTGAACCTGAGGGATCCCAGCCTGCACAGGATTCCCCGCCTCCAGAACCAGCTGAGCTGGGGCTGGGGCCTGAGCCTGAAGGGTCCTCACCTGTGCTGGATCCTCAGGAGCAGACACCAGCTGAATCTGCTCTGGCTCCGGAGGTGATGGAGGACCCATTGCCTGCAGGTGCTCCTCTCCCAGCCCCGTCAGGGGAAGGTGAGGTTGCCTCTGGGTCCGGTAACCTCCAACCTCTTCTGAGCTGCAGAGGCTCAGGGCAGAGAGGCGGAGGGAACTAAGTTCCCGCAGGAGGAGGGCTCGCCTCCAGGCCAGGAGAGGCGAGTCACCAGAGGATCGGGGCCGCCCTATGCCCAGAGGAGATAAAGGCCAGTCAGCCCAGTCCCAGGTTGCGGGAGCAACATTGTTGGTTACCTGTTCCTGCCGGCACCCTGACCTGCTCTCCTGAGTTCCTGACCATGCCCGACTCCTTGCTTTGGACCTCGCTTCGCCCCTGATGAACAACCTCCTTACCCTCGACCTAGGACCGGATTTAGACCACGCCGCACGGTAACCCCCCCCCCCGGGACCAGCAAACACTGCCTCCTATAGAACCATAGAACTGTAGCATTGGAGGGGTACTGGTGGTCATCCCTGCAATGTGGGAATTGTTCATGGGGCTCAAACTCACAGCTCTGAGATGAAGAGTCTCACACTCTACCACCTGAGCTTTTCCTTTTAGCTATGCCCCGTGTGACAGACTTTCTTTTAGCCATCCCGAACCTTCAGCTTCGTTGGACATCCGTGAGATCCTTGAGTTATTAGAGAGGGAGGAAATCCTAAAAGGAACCTGAGATTTGGATGATGCATTAAGCAAAACTCATTCCTTCCCCTCCAGTTTAAACAACCTGCAAGGATCTCGTTTGCTGAAAACTCAACGAGGGGAAACAGCCACGGATTGGGAACCCCACAGCAGCACCCGGTTCCCAACTTCCACCCTCCGCCACAAACTGAGCTCAATTCTCCAAAAGCAAATTCGTTTTATTTTTTAAAGATAACACCTTTATTTATTTAGTCATTTATTATTTGTTAGATAATAATCTGTTATAATTATTGTTAGTCGTTATTATGCAGAGATGAACAATTCCCCTCCCCCTTGGATCACGGAGCAAACAGTTTTGCTGCTTTTATCTGTTGTTATTTTTATTTTATTTTTCATGTTAATGGAGTCCCGATTGAAAATATATATATTTATATATATAACTCTATATATATATCCACGTATATCCTTTCTCCCCTTCCCCCCTTGGCTTTGGGCATGTGTGGCTGGTTGTGTGTTTTGTACTCTAAAACGTTGCAACAGGCAAGATCTCCTCGTCCTACACAAAGGAAAAAAGGGTTGAGTTCAGAATCTTAGCCGCTACTGGAAGCTCCTGCCTTGCTCCTCCGCCTGCCGCTGCCTCGGTGAGGGTTCGCTGGGTGGGATGAGTGGGTGGGTGGGTGGGAGGGAGGGAGGGGGTGGGTGGGAAAGGCCTCGGATGCAGGGATGGGCGGGTGTCTGTCCTCTCAGCTATGTCGAGTCCTGGTTGACGACTTTGCCTCCGTTCATGGTGGGCGTCCCCGAACTTTTCCTGGAGCGGCCTTGCTTCTCTCCAATTTCATGCAGCGATGGCTCTCTGTACATGCACACTGGAAAGAGAAAAAAGGGAGCCGGCATTAGCGTCGCCCACAGAAGCGGAAAGGGCTGCGTGTGGCTAGAGCAGGGGTAGGCAACCTAAGGCCCGGGGCCCGGATCCAGCCCAGTACGTTTCCAAGCACAATTCAAAGTGTTTAAAGCCTAAACGGCCTTGGTCCAGTATACCTGAAGGAGCGTCTCCACCCCCATCGTTCTGCCCGGACACTGAGGTCCAGCACCAAGGGCCTTCTGGTGGTTCCCTCACTGCAAGAAGCCAAGTTACAGGGAACCAGGCAGAGGGCCTTCTCGGTGGTGGCACCCGCCCTGTGGAATGCCCTCCCATCAGATGTCAAAGAGAACAACAACTACCAGACTTTTAGAAGACATCTGAAGGCAGCCCTGTTTAGGGAAGCTTTTAATGTTTGATGTATTACAGTATTTTAATATTTTTTTGGAAGCCGCCCAGAGTGGCTGGGGAAGCCCAGCCAGATGGGCGGGGTATAAATAATAAATAATAAATGATGATGATGATGAGACACACGCAGGGCAAAGCTTCCTTGCAGGAGGAGAACGCATCTCTCCAAAAAGCCGTTGCCACTTTCCCTTTGAAGGGCTTCTGTTAAGCTCCCGGCTCATGTCCCCTTCCAAGCCAAGGCCTTCCCAAAGCACGGAGGGGGAGGCGGGGGGGGGGGGTCTGGTCTCTAACAGATAAGGCTCTTTCCAGTCCCTTCAGAGTTATTTTTTGACTTGGAGCCTTAGATGCCAGGCGCACAAAGGAGGAGCCCCAGTCCGCCCTGGTTGCTCCCGGCACGGAACCATCTGGCTTTAAGAGGTTGGGGAGGTCACCCTTCCTTGGGCTCCCGTTTCTTATCAGCCCCAAACAACAGAGGACTCAGGCAGCACCAAGCCCAGTGACCTGGATTGCCCAGGCCTTTGATCTCAGCTGTCTGAGGCGAAGACCCAGCTCCGTCTTCCTAGCTTGAGCTTGTGAGTTCATTTCAGGTCAGGGCTGGAGGTGGGTGGGTGGGGACAGGACCAGCCTTTCCCAGGTGCCAGAGGGATGAGGCGCCAGGGATCTTTCCAGCTCCATGCAAGGCCCACCGAAGCTCAGGGGTGGCATGGCTGCTTTTCATGCAGAAAATGAATGGAAATGGAAATGAATTTGGGACAACTTCCATTCTTATACAATTTCCTAAAGGAGAACCATTTCAAAACCCTCTGTCAGTGGTATTTAACGCCTTATAAATTTAATTTAATATCCGTTAGGATCGGACAGAAGCTGGAGATGTGGATTAAATAAAGCAAATCACCTTTTAGAATTGTTCTAAATATATATATATATTATGTAAATCAGGTGGATATCTCTGATATGGTAGGATATCCTAACCTCTGGTACCTAAAGTATTTATGTTTGTTCATCTGAAAGATGCTATTCCAGTAAATGATCATGTTGCCTACAATATCTGAATGGCCTCAAAAAATCTGGGCCACAGTAACTATGGTTAAGGCCTAACTTACCACAGAAGAATGCATACAAACCAGCCTAACAGGTTTATGGAGGAAATGGGTAATTATTATTATTTTTTGCAATGTTCTGGAACAACATCAGTGATAAAGTCCAACCTAAGGCAGTTTTCCACCTGCTGTAACATTATTCCTTTATGCTCTTTGGTTTATTTTGTTTAATAGAAACAAATAAATAAATGCGGGAGAATCTCCGGAGTCAGGATCCCGGGGCTCAATGTACAGAGCTGGTTTATGGGACTAAAGCGCATTTTACAACGCCAGGTCTTGCATGCTGCTGCTTCTCCAAAACAGCACTGTGGGGAGGGGAGGTGGACGCCTCCCACATTTGCAAGCTTTTCGTACTGTTGGAACATCCAAATTGCAGGCTGGGTGGGGAGCTTTTCGCTGCAGAGGAGTAAAATCCACACAGTTTGTGTGCATGCTCTGTGTTTCTTAAAAGCAAAAGGACTTGCCGCTGTTTGTTTTTCTCCCTGCTGCCTAATGCACTTCCCACTCGCCCATCCTGCTGCCAAGTGCCTTCCTCAAAAAACGGGACATGGGTTTAAAGGAGCTGCTTGCATTGCAAAAGTGGATTTGGGGCGAGCAGGCGAGAGTAAGCCAGGGCAAGCGAGGAGAAGTGTGTGTCTCAGCAGTGGCTTGTGCCCAATGGAATGGCAGGCAGGGAGTCCAACAGGAGTAATTATTATTATTATTATTATTATTATTATTATTAATAGCTTATACCCCGCCCATCTGGCTGGACTTCCCCAGCCACTCTGGACAGCTTCCAACACAATATTAAAATACAGTAATGCATCAAACATTAAAAGCCTCCCTAAACAGGGCTGCCTTCTAAAAGTCTGGTAGTTGTTCTATTTGACATCTCATGGGAGGGCGTTCCACAGGGCGGGTGCCACCACTGAGAAGGCCCTCTGCCTGGTTCCCTGTAACTTGACTTCTCGCAGTGAGGGAACCGCCAGAAGGCCCTCGGACCTGGAGCTCAGCGTCCGGGCAGAACGATGGGGGTGGAGATGCTCCTTCAGGTCTACTGGGCTGAGGCCATTTAGAGCTTTAAAGGTCAGCATCAACACTTTGAATTGTGCTCAGAAACGTACTGGAGCCCCCCTGTCTGGTTGTAAGGAAGAAGGCAGGAGCTGGGGGCTGGCAGAGGTTGGTGGGGCACTGCCTCCTTTCATAGAACCACAGAACTGTAGAGTTGTAAGGGATCGCCAAGGGTCATCTAGTCCAACCCCCTTGCAATTCCAAAAGTGGTTTGACAACCAATCCGTCTTCACAGGCAGCTCTGGGAATTGTGGCTCTGCGAGGGGAATGGGGAGGCCTCCGACCAAATCTCTGCACCCTTAACAAACTAGTTCCCAGCATTGTTTGGGAGAAGCCATGGCTGTTTGAAGGGGAATTCTAGTACTTTGTATGTGCAGTGCGAATGTAGACCATGCCTTCCATTCGCTAGGAACCTTGCACAGAATGGCCGGTCCCCATGGCACCCAGAAAGCGGCCATTTGGCACCCATGAAATCCAACACACCCTAATTTCTAGGAAATTCTGAAAGTGAGACCTTTTCAGCAGTGCACAGTCTTCAGTGTCTACACTCATAGGCATCTAATAAAGCTGAAAGTTGGAAGATTGGGGACAGATAACAGAAAGTCCTTTATGCAGCACAGAGTTTAAACTATGGAAATCTCTGCCACAGGACACAGTGATGGCCATCAACTTGGGTGGCTTCAAAAAAATAATAACAGACAATTCATGGAGAGGGCTATCCATGGCTCCTAGCAATAATTCTCTTGCGCTCGAGTCCTGCTTTTGGTTGGCCACTCTGAGAACAGGATGCTGGACAAGACGGGCCACTGTTCCTACACGGCTCCACATGTTGTTGTTGTTGTTGAGTCGTTTAGTGGTGTCCGCCTCTTGGTGACCCCCTGGACTAGAGCATGCCAGGCCCTCCTGTCTTCCACTGCCTCCCGCAGTTTGGTCAAACTCATGCTGGTAGCTTCAAGAACACTGTCCCACCATCTCGTCCTCTGTCGTCCCCTTCTCCTTGTGCCCTCCATCTTTCCCAACATCAGGGTCTTTTCCAGGGAGTCTTCTCTTCTCATGAGGTGGCCAAAGTCTTGGAGCCTCAGCTTCAGGATCTGTCCTTCCAGTGAGCACTCAGGGCTGATTTCCTTCAGAATGGAGAGGTTGGATCTTCTTGCAGTCCATGGGACTCTCAAGAGTCTCCTCCAGCACCAGAATTCAAAAGCACCCATTTTTTGGCGATCAGCCTTCTTTATGGTCCAGCTCTCACTTCCATACATCACTACTGGGAAAACCATATCTTTAACTATACGGACCTTTGTTGGCAAGGGTGATGTCTCTGCTTTTTAAAATGCTGTCTAGGTTTGTCATCGCTTTTCTCCCAAGAAGCAGGCGTCTTTTAATTTCGTGACTGCTGTCACCATCTGCAGTGATCATGGAGCCCAAGAAAGTAAAATCTCTCACTGCCTCCATTTCTTCCCCTTCTATTTGCCAGGAGGTGATGGGACCCAGTGGCCATGTTCTTCGTTTTTTTTATGTTGAGCTTCAGACCATATTTTGCGCTCTCCTCTTTCACCCTCATTAAAAGGTTCTTTAATTCCTCCTCACTTTCTGCCATCCAGGTTGTGTCAAGGTTCACATACCGGGGCTTTATTCAGGCTGCAGCGCCATCTGACCACAGCAAAGTGGCAAACAACAGCAGCCACCTGCATTGCAAGGGGCTGGACTAGACGACCGCTGGCGTCACTTCCAGCTCTGCATTTCTGTGATTCTGTGAAGGTCGTGGCAAAGACAGCCCTTCTCAGACAACTCCCTCTGTCCTATGCGGGGAGAGAGACTGGGGAGAAATCACAGCAAAGAGGAGGAGGAGGAGGAGGAGGAGGAGGAGGAGAAAAGCAGCTCAGAGGAAGGCCGATGAAGACAGATGGGGATTCATCCCCGCAAAGAGGAGCTTTGGCAAAGAGGGATGGGGGCCTAGCCTTGTGCCGGGGGCGCTGGGACTCCAGAGTAAAGACGCAGGGCAGCCTGGGCGTAGCTGCGACCTTGAGGATGCAGCGGAAGGTGGGATATTGAGGCCAGTTTGCACAGCATCTGGGAGCTTTCGCTTCCTCCTCTGCCTGCCATCTGTTTAAGGGGATTGCAGAGAGAGAGAGAGAGAGACGCTGACCCATGTCCGTCTCCCGGAAAGGGATGCTTAGAGCCTGTTTATTACAGACGTTGGGAGGGAAGAGAGAGCCAGTCTCCTAGCAGAAGCAGTCAGAGCAGGGGGACAGGGATGCTCAGCCCTTTGCAGACGACGCAGAAGGAAGACAGCTTCCCTGCTTACAGAGAAACCACACATGCCCACCCAAAGGCATCAATGCCATCCAGATTTTTTTCCTTTGGCACCCAGGACCTAGGTGGCAGGGGTGTGTGAACCCAACACCACGGGCGGAAGGTGTGTTTCAGCAGCATGCCGGAACAAAAGAAGGGTGTCCTGGATGAGGCTAGTGGCCCATCGAGTCCAGCATCCTCACAGGAGGCCCATTATGGGAAACCTACTGGCAGGACCCAAGCCCAAAACCTCTCTGCCCCCCCCCACTGGTAGTTTCCAGCACCTGGCATTCAGAAGCATTGCTCCCCAAAACTGCGGGGGCAGAGCAGAGGCATCTTGGGTGCTAAGATGAGCAGAGGGTGCCTTCTTAGTTGTCCCTTCTCCCTCAGAGGCTCAGGATGTGTGTGTGGTCTTAGCGGAGAGGCCTTCTCTGTGGTGGCCCCTAAGCTGTGTGACTCCCTCCACACAGAGGCTCGCCTGGCACCTTCATTGCACAGCTTCCAGAGGATGCTGAAGACACACCTGTTCACACTAGGCTTATGACACCTCAGGTGTATGGTTTTTAGGAACCATCTTATTTTGGAAATTTTAAGTTGTTTTAAACACAATGTTGTTGTTTTTTTAAAAAATATTGTGCAAGACTATGTTCTGATACTAACACTATGCTTCATACATTTCAAGCACATGCAAAGTGCCTTCCCAGAGAATTCTGGGTCCTGTACTTCATTAAGGGTTGCTGGGAGTTGCAATTCTGTGTGTGGTAAACTACAATGCCCAAAATTCTCTGGGTGAAAAAACGAACTTTCAAGGTATATTGTGTAAACAATTTTTAATGTATTTTTAACCTTCTGTTGGGAGCCGCCCAGAGTGGCTGGGGAAACCCAGCCAGATGGACAGGGTAGAAATAATAAATTTATTATTATTATTATTATTATTATTATTATTATTATTATTATTATTATTACAGCCCAAAATGCAATGTGAAATCAGACCAGGCTATGCACCCCAACAAATGTACCATTTGGCAAGCAGCATAGTTGCATCAAATTTATCCAAATTCTTATGATGAGCTATTCCCAAATCTAATACCACATATGCAGACAGAGCTCAGCTTTATCCCTCTGAATAGATGTGAAATTGGGGGTGGGCTATCCATAAAGCCTGACCAAAACATACCTCCATAAGCCAGCTGTTAATGTGACTTTATCAGTGATGTCTCCCTGCCCCTTTTCATGGCAGGGTCCTAAATATATGTCTCCCCCCCCCCACCTTCATCATTTTATAGCTGCAACAGGTCACCAGCGAAGAGCAGGACCAAACCAAATGTATTATGCCAAAGAAGCTCGCCAAGCAAACGAACGCCAGCTCTCTCGGGCAAGTGAGCCCAGCTGCATTTTGCACAAGAGAGCGAAAGAGAGCCTGGGGAGCAATCTGACTTTGCTCAGCATCCCTCCCACCCCAAAAGGAAACACAACTTCTTCACCAAACACCCCCCCCCACCACCCAAATGCAGAGAAACCAAAACTGGGGACTCCGCCCCTCCCTACCTTCTATGGGTTTCGGTACAAAATGTGATGATGGCTTGGTCTTTTTCACCCGGTTCCCCTTCATAATCTGCCCTTCTTTATTGAGCCCCAAGAACCAGGCTCTCCCGGATTCCTGCTGCCGGTACAGCGTAGAGGAATATATAACGTAGTAGTTTTCAAAAACGGACTCCTTAAATTTGCACTCTGGCGTGAAGATGTCCTGCAGCGAGGAAGAGAACAAAAGAGGGGGAGAGGGATTAATGCGGAGTCGCTCCAGAGCAGGCGCCGGCCAAGAGATAATCTGTGTACCTCTTAGCGTAATCTCTTTAATGAAGAGAAAATAAAATTAAAAGAGGCAGGCCCAGCCGCCAGCAGCTGAGCAGAATCTCAAGAACCAGTTGCTTGAAAGATGCAACGTTCAGCTGCATCGCATGTTCGCAAATTCTTGTGGTGTGAGAGAGGGCCAGGACCCCCAGAGTCTTTCACTGCTCGGAGGTGAGAGAATCATAGAATTGTAGAAAGGGACCCTGAGGGTCATCTAGCCCAACCCGCTGCAACCTTGGCATTAGAAGCACCACACTCTAACCAACTGAGCTATCCAGAATCGGGGTGCCGCGCACCTGTACAGGAACATAAGACGCTGCCTTGTGCTGCCAGACCATTTGGTCCATCGAGCCCACTGTTGCCAGAGTCTGCCTGGAGGTGCCACTCAGGGGGTGACCTTGGGCCAGTCGCTGTCTCTTAGCCTAGCCTACCTCACAGGGTCGTTGTGGGGATGGAAGGGGGAGGAAGAGGAGAACCACGGACGCCACTTTGAGATCCTTGAAAGGAAAGGGCGGAACATGCATGCAATAAAATGCAATAAAGTGGGGGGGGCCTGAACTCGGGACCTTCTGCTCACAAGGCAGATATTCTGTCCCCAATGCTGTGGTCGTTCCCAGCTGCAATCCAACCATAGCGGTCAACCTTCCCTTTTTTTGCAGGAAATTCCCTTATTCCAGCGCCATTTCCCGGTGCTTCCCGCTGCTACCCCGGATTGTTAGATATTCCGTAGACTGTCCCTGGGACAGGTGAGGCTGCTGATCCCTTATTTATTTTCAAATCTGAAAGTTGACAGCTATGAATCCAACAAGGGTGTTTTGATTTATACACCATGAGATCGTAAAAACAAACAAATACACAACACACAGAAAGCATGAAAATACTAAAATAGGTTAAATACTAAAATAGGTCCAGTTGTGGCCAACTCTGGGGTTGCGGCGCTCATGTCGCCGTTTACCTTCCCGCCGGAGCGGTACCTATTTATCTACTTGCACTTTGACGTGCTTTTGAACTGCTAGGTTGGCAGGAGCAGGGACCGAGCAACGGGAGCTCACCCCGTCGTGGGGATTCGAACTGCCAACCTTCTGATCGGCAACCCCTAGGCTCTGTGGTTTAACCCACAGTGTCACCTGCATCCCTTTCAAACAAGAATTTTAGCAGGTGCCAAAAAGAGAGCAGGCAAAGGTACCTGCTTGATGTAAATAGGCAGGGAGTTCCAGAGGCAGGGGCTGTCAAACCAAAAGAACAAGTTCCTTACAGATGTGGAACGGGAATTACGTGGCAGCTGTGGCAGTGCTAATTCCACCCATCCAAGCAGTGCAATGGACACATGTGGGATATTGGCTTTATACCCCAACAGCAACACCTTGAACTCGGCCCAGTAGCAATTCAGAAACCAGCACAGGACTCTGAGCGCAGGGGTCATTTGCTGACAAGGCCTCCCTCCTGTCAGCAATCGCGCTGCAGCATTCTGCACTAACTGCAAGCTCTGGATCAAGCACAAGGGAAGCTCCACATAGAGTGCATGGCAGTAATCCAATCCCCTCCCCCAAAATTATTATTATTATTATTATTATTTTGTCCCCAGGCAAGTAGATTTGCAGATCCCCTGAAAAAATCCTTCTGTGGTTTTCCCTGCAGCCCCCAAAGCCTGCTCTCCAGCAAGCAGAACTGGCAGAGCTGTCAACCTGTTTGAGACTTCTCAGTTGATTGATGGCCTGCCACTTAACCAATCGACTGATGGAATTGATTAAACCAAAATTAATTTGCATTTCGCTCAAAGCTTCAATCCGGGGAGCTTTTTACAGAGACAAAAGTGCGAGATAACAGGCAATTTAAGCAAACAATTTATCGTGGAAAGGAGGAGGGGCTCTCTTTTATCCCAAGTACACGCTAGAAGCAAAGGAGCGGTTTTTAAGGTGCCCATAAACTTGCAGCCCCACTGATTAAAATGGAGTAACGCCAGCTAAGCAATTTAAGCTTTATAGGTGATTAATCTACCAGTTAAAAAACTGGAGGTCTACAAGTGGCAGGGTATAGTTTTAAAAAACATAATCTAAAAGGCATCAGATGTACCAGGATTGACTTTACACACACACACCCCTCCCCAAACACCACCTTGGCTGGGTGAAAAAAGGCAAATTCCATGCTAGGGACCATCAGGAAATGAATTGGAAACAAAACTGCCAATATCATATTCTGTTGTAGAAATCTATGGTGCAACCGCATTTGGAATCCTGTGTGCGGTTCTGGTGGCCTCGCCTCAAAAAGGAGATTTTAGGGTTTGGAAGGGTTCAGAAAAAGAACGAAATATCTTTCTCCCCAGTTCTCTCTCCCCATAAACCTCACAGTGCCTATGATAACAATGTCTCACACAGAATGCGGAAAGGACTCTTATGAACTGAAAAAGGAGATGTTATACGTACCTTTGTCATTAATGAAAATATTTAAATAAATTAAAAAATTAGAAAAAAAGATAAGGGCAACCAAAATGATGGAGGGAACGGAGCTACTCCCCTTTGAGGGAACGTGGCCACGTTTGGGACTTTTTAGTTTAGTGAAGTGGCAAGTAAGAGGTGAATCCTAGAATAGTAGAGTTGGAAGGGACCCCGAGGGTCATCTAGCCCAACCCCCTGAAATGCAAGACTCTCAGCATGAGGTCTCCCATCCAGTTTGAAACCTCACCAGACCCTGCTTAGCTTTGCAAAGGCGGAAACAGAATTGTAGCAGCGAGAAGAGTATGTGCTGCGGGAAACGGGTTTTCTTTTTCTTTTTTTATAATAATATTTTATTAGGATTTTTCCAAAAAATTAACAACCAACAAAATCAACAAAAATCACAAAAAACAGACAACAAATATCAGAAATCCAAACAGAAAAACAGAAAAAGGAAAAATGCAAAAAAGAAAAATTTAGCAAAAAAAACAAAACACTCTTTCATATTGGTAACTTTCAAAACCTTATTCTCTTTACTTCCACCCGCCTTTCCTTCTTGTATTCTACTTTAAAAATTAGTTCAGCAAGATCATTCATTATTCATTTTAAACCTTTATCCCTTCCTTTATAGTCTTATTTATCTTAATCACTAGGAACCCCTTCATTTCGTTTTCACAGCCCTCAGCATTCATAAATTTTACAGTATTTTTGTAGATAGACTTTAAACTTCTTCCAGTCCTCTTCCACCTGCTCCTCTCCTTGATCTCGGATTCTGCCGGTCATCTCTGCCAGTTCCATATAGTCTATCACTTGCATCTGCCATTCTTCCAAGGTGGGTAGGTCTTGCGTCTTCCAATGCTTTGCGATGAGTATTCTTGCTGCTGGAAACGGGTTTTCTTTCTGAGAGGGTTTCAGTAGCCAACAATGCAAAGCTGCCTCCGTACCAAGGAAACAAATTTCCGAGCAGAGAGCGCAGCTTTTTAGAATATTTGTTTTCTGTTTAGAAAAACGGCCTGGCACATTATTGAGCTTTGCAGTTCTTTCCTTTCTGGTGTGCCCCTCCCCACCCGAAAAAGCACAAGAATGCAAAACTGAACAGGAAGGCAGAATAATTGCTCCCATTGTCGCTTCACACAATGCACTCAGGACTGTATACACAGCCAATTAAAAACAAGTGTTATGTTTATTTTTAACGCTTCACATCATAATCTTCAATGCATTGAATGAAACGGTCATGAGACTCCATTTCAATGGGTGTTTCTATATAACAGCCCCCCTTGGGTGGGGGGTGGGGGTGGATGTGAAGCTTGACATGAGCTGAATTGTTTTTCCAAAAGTAAACCTCACGTTTGGGGTCCCTTCTGATCCTACAATTCTATGATATTTGCATACTTTCATTTCCTGTTGTCCATTGGGGTAGCATTCTTAGATTCACAGAATGGTAGAACGGGCCACTCAGTGTCATCTAGTCCAACCCCCTGCGATGCAGGAATCACAGCTAAGGTGATAAGAAGCCTTGTTTTCAGATCTAAGCCTTGTCTGAATTATCATAGGCTCATTAAATAGCATTTAATGTTAGGCTTTAGAAATTGACCATCTCCTTTCTTGTAAGATGAAGCCATTCGTTTGGGTCCTGCCCTCCGGAACATAGAATCATAGAATCCTAGAGTTGGAAGAGACCACAAGGGCCATCGAGTCCAACCCCCTGCCAAGCAGGAAACACCATCAGAGCACTCCTGACATATGGTTGTCAAGCCTCTGCTTAAAGACCTCCAAAGAAGGAGACTCCACCACACTCCTTGGCAGCAAATTCCACTGTCGAACAGCTCTTACTGTCAGGAAGTTCTTCCTAATGTTTAGGTGGAATCTTCTTTCTTGTAGTTTGGATCCATTGCTCCGTGTCCGCTTCTCTGGAGCAGCAGAAAACAACCTTTCTCCCTCCTCTATGTGACATCCTTTTATATATTTGAACATGGCTATCATATCACCCCTTAACCTCCTCTTCTCCAGGCTAAACATGCCCAGCTCCCTTAGCCGTTCCTCATAAGGCATCATTTCCAGGCCTTTGACCATTTGGGTTGCCCTCCTCTGGACACGTTCGAGTTTGTCAGTGTCCTTCTTGAACTGTGGTGCCCAGAACTGGACACAGTACTCCAGGTGAGGTCTGACCAGAGCAGAATACAGTGGCACTATTACTTCCCTTGATCTAGATGCTATACTCCTATTGATGCAGCCCAGAAAGAAATGAGAAAACAAGCTTGCTCCATCTTCCACGGGACAGGCCTTGAGGGTTTATTGAAAACTTCCTCCAAGGAACTCAGAGCGGTGTTCAGAATGCCCTCTTCCCTTTGGCCTCACAACGACCCTGTGCGGCAGGTCAAGGGAAGAAAGAGATCGACAGGCCCAAAGTCACGCAGTTCAGCTTTGTGGCTGAGAAAGGATTTGAACCCGGATTTTCCCAGCT